GCGCAAATGTCGTCGACACCGCAAAGAACTATGTTAGTCTTCAAGTCAAAAAGCTGTACGTCAAGATGCAAGAAATTCTCCCAACTCCGAAAGAGAATCATGAACACAAAAGTAATATATTAGACTGTGCTTCAAAATCACGACGTACTAGCTTCAAGCAAGCTTCCAAAATCGGTTCATTTCATTCAGATTTGAACCATTCAAAAATGTAGAGTTCATCCTTGTCGAGGGCACAAGCGAAATTCGAAATTGTACTAGTTGCTATAGATGAACTTCCAGTAATTTGAAAGAATAGGTGCAATCTACTTCCGAAGAATGTCGTGTGTCAAAAGAGGCCGTGACAAACCCCACAAATCTAATGAAAATGGAAAGATCAGCAATGAATTTTTAGGTGATCAGTTCAGTGACGGCATCATTACGGTTCGATGGCGCACTCAATGTGGATCTTACAGAATTCCAGGTAATCAGGCTTCATTTTTGTCTCATTCAATAAGACTTTATCACCTATTTTTCAAATGGTCGATTTTAGACAAACCTTGTCCCATATCCACGCATTCATTTTCCTCTCACAACGTTCGCGCCTATCATTTCAGCAGAAAAGGCGTATCATGAGCAGATGACGGTGAGCACATCCATGTACATATAATACTTTACAGCTCTAGATATATTTTTCAGGTAAGTGATATCACACAGCAATGCTTTGAACCAGGAGCACAGATGGTGAAATGCGATCCACGGCGAGGAAAGTATATGGTAAGGGATAGGGGACTATATGTTGGCGAAAGTGGGAGGTCCCGCCGGAGCTGAAGAAACAGATCAATAGATCAATGATAATTGTCGACTTTTTTAAATACAGGCATGCTGTCTCTTATATCGCGGAGATGTGGTTCCCAAAGATGTGAATGCAGCGATTGCGTCTGTGAAGACAAAAAGGACCATTCAATTTGTTGATTGGTCCCCAACAGGGTTCAAGGTAAAATATTTTTGCAAACAGTATCATACCAC